TCATCTTACCCTGAATTGTGACACAGCAGTTCTAAGGTACCACCTGCAGCTGTGTCCAGCTCGGCTGAAGCACATAGAATTCTAAAGAATTTCAGAATGAAGGTGGCAATCATAGATTATAACCACGAATCAAATCCTCCGTCTCATGGAGTTCTGCAATTTCTAACTCATTGTGTACCAAATATCATTAACACTGGCTAGCACACAGAAGGAAAGCTGTCTCCAACTGGGAGACTGGAGCCCTCCAACCAGAGGAGACCTTATTCCTCCCAAACCTTGCTTCTCTCTTGGCTCCAGAACTCACTCACTGGAGACCACAGAGGCAGAAGGAGACAGTATGCTGTTTCCAAGAGCAATTCAAAAAGCCTGAAGGAACACCAGATAAAACCACATCAAAACTCCAGATAAAACCACATCAAAACTCCAGATAAAACCACATCAAAACTCCAGATAAAACCACATCAAAACTCCAGATAAAACCACATCATGCTACATTTGCTTATTCACTCATGCAGCAAATATGTACTGTTCCTCTGGTCCCTGGGGATGCAGCGGTGAATAAAACCCTGTGCCCTCATGGAGTTTACATTCTGTCTAACTTAAAGTCCTACTGGGCTGCTCTGCATTGATGAAGGATCAAATCATGATTGAGAAGCCAAAAAGAACCTAGACTTCCCATAAGTCCATTGTAAGCCAATAAGAACTTAGACTTGTCTTGCCCTGGCTGGTGCTGCTCAGAGGTAAGAGCATCAGCCTGCACACTGAAGGGTTGCAGTTCGCTCCCCACATGTAGGTGCTGGAGGCAACCAGTCAATGTGGTGTTTTTTTTTACATCAATGTTTCTCTCTCTTTCTCTCTCTCTCTCTCTCTCTCTCTCTCTCTCTCTCTCTCTCTCTCTCTCTCTCCTTTCCTCCCTCACTTCCACTCTCTAAAAAAGCAATGGGAAAATATAGCCTCCGGTGACAATTAACAAAAACACTTAGACTTATCTTAAGGACCATGCTTGCACACCTCAATGATATCAGCACTGTGTATCTAAGTTGGTGACTTTTTTGAGCTAAGAGCACTACCTACCTGATGGGCACCTGAAGCACAAGGTCTAAATGCACCCAGAGTGTGGTCAGAGAAGAGAGACTCGGCGTGTGAACAAAGAGAAAGCCCGCACCACACCCATTCCCTGGTTGGGGAACTCTGACCTCTTCTATAATCGAGATCCTGTCTTCTCTACCAAAACAGCCAAGGGCAGTGGAGTGTAACTGGGGACGCAGCCCCAGCAACCTCAGGCATTCCTTTGGACTCTTCCAATCATTAAAATCCATGCTTTGAGTTCCAGGTTTGTTTCTGTATAAGCATTTTTAAATTCCCAATTTTAGAGGAAAATTCCAATAAATTTGGTAAACCAGGGAGAGGTTCTGACTTTATCTTGCAATTACTTTTACACCCAGAGGTGCTTGCTTCCCAGGTTGAAAAATTTAGGACTAGAAAAGTTGAAAGCTTGACATTTGAGAGCATTCAGCTCTCACAATTTATGAGTAAAACTTTAGAAAATGTAATATAAAAGAAAAAAACAGTTTGCCATGTTAACGGATATGTAACTTTTCAAAGAGATCTGCTGAATTTTTCTTTAAGTCAAAACTTTCATGATGATTTAACATGTATCTTCGTTATTCTCTGCCTGATGGTAAGACTGGGAGCAAAGAAGCCCAACCCTTGAAACCCTCAGTATGGTCCTGAGGTCATCGTGTGTTGGGGTCCTGCCTCTGGGCCAGACCACCTGTCCTGGCAGATTCGCTCCTTAGCTGCTTTCTTTAGATTGCAACAGGGAGTATCCTTGTGCCTCCAGGGCCTGGAACACAGTAAGTGCTCAATAAATGTCCTAGGCATGAAGGAGCACTCGGGACAATGGAAGTGCCATCATCTCATTTACAAAGTTTCCCTATGGATACAGCTTTTGAAGGACATACCTAGTTTGAGAAGAGTAGATGAGGATGGCTACTTTGGTTCTGTCCACTCACACTCAAAATCAGGACAAGATGGTGATTTTAACAACTAAAAATCACAGCCCTATTTTTTTTAATGACAACTCTTCCATTGCATTTTAATAAAGGAGTTCATTGAAAATTATGAGGATGCAGATGTAGGAAGAAAGAAGAAGACTTCAAAGACTCAGAGACAAAAAGGAAAGAAACAGGTAGGGAGTGACAAGAAACACGGGTCTGTCTACAACCACCGGCACCCACAGGGACCACACATCCTCTGGGAGAGGCAGGGATGGGGTGGGTGGTTCGGTGTAGCACCTTGTGTGGGACAGATGCCCTGTGCAATGAGACCCTGGTTGGATGGGAACATTTTTCCTGTAAGGTTTCTCCTGTCCCCTGGGAGAGGAGTCTAGAAATGATGGAAAGAGCCCCTCTAGTGTTGTCATCAAAGGTCATAAGCTAAGACCGGCGATAGATGGCAGTGCAGGATTACAAATTGTAGGGAACCCCCCTTCTTTCTCCAATTCCCAGCCCCAGTCCTGCTTCAGCCCAAGCAGCAGGCAGACTCCTGTCTCCCCGGCTGCTCACAGTCCCTCCCGCTCTCCTCCCCCCAGAGTGGCTCTGCTTCGCTGGGAGCTTTCCCGAAAGGTCAGCTGCTCAAGGTAAATAGACTCCCTGGGTAAGAGTCCTTGCCCGTGGAGGGAGGATTTGTTTGGAAGACTCAGATGCCAGCTTGGAGGGAGGGGCAGGAGCGCCATTTTGAGCCAGCAGCCACGTGAAGGGGCCCTGCAGGAGGGCGGCAGGGGAGGTGGGGAGATAGGAGGGTCCCCGAGAGCCCAAGGCTGGAAAAAACCCTCCTCTCAGTTCCCCCCTCCCCAGCACACTCCGGTTGGGATGAGCTGGGCCCAGGAGCAGCCTTCCGGCTTCTGCAGTTGAGATGGAGCCGCCCAGGGGAGGGCCCAGGGGATGGGAGGTGCTGCCCAGCCACGTGGCTGGTCCCTCTGGCCACTCGGGAGCTTTAACCCCTTCCTGCAGGGTGAGTGGTGGCTCTGCAGCCTGGGCAGGGGAACCCATGGAGGCAGCAAAGGCTGGAGCAGATAGAAAAAGTGCAGGTCTTTAGATCAATGGCCACCTGAAGTGGTGAGCAAGGCTAGGTGGGTGTGAGATGGAGAATAGAATCCAGTGTCAGGCATCACACTTCCTAGGCATCATCTCATTAATTTAACGGGTACCAGGGCTCTGATCACCTGATCACAGACGGCACAGCAGTCTTGGGGTGTTGTTCAGAAACCTAGCGTAACATTTGCTAACCCCATGACACTTCAGGATCGCTGGGGATTTATTTTTAAGTTGATGCCTCAAGATATCCCAGGCCATGCATTTAAGCCAGAATCTGTGCTTTGCGTAGTGATTGATACAGATCGGCATCCCAGTGAATTTTAATTTCCTTTCCTTCAGAGATGAGGAGGGAAGGAAGTTAGGAAGTCCCATAGCCCTCCCACGTCTCACGGTAAATCTGAGTTCCGAGGCCAGCCTTTGTCTGACCTTATAGGCTGTCACTGGACCATGGCTGCCCCTGCCACTCTGCTCACCTCCCTCCTCTGAGAGTTTGGGGAAGAAACCCGAGGCTGTTCTTTGCCCTGGATTATCCAGGGACACGGAACAGCTGTTTCCAAGAGTTGGAGTTGGGCTCAAATAGTTTGGTTGTGACTTTCCTGCTTCCCTTTCTCTGCACATCTCTGCAGAGCTCTGTACATTATACCTAGAAGAAGTGAAAATATTCACCTTGTTTTGGGGTGACTTAGTAATTGCCCGAGACACCGCAGAGAAACTCAGGGTTGGCACTGCTTCCCTGGGGGTGACCACAGTGGCATAGAGAGTGGGGTCCCAGGTTATCTAGATCTGAATACTTTAGGGTCTAGCCTCTGTTTAAGTGACGCTCCTCATCCTGAGATAGGATCTGAGTCAACTGAAGCCCTGAGAATCACAACCTCCCACCCTCTCCTGCAGCTACGCACTGCTGGCCCCGAGGAAATGGTGTCCGGAAAGCCCCACGGTGGCAGCCAGCAGGAGCCTGCGCAGGAGGATCAGGACCCTGACACCCACCTTCTGAGCATGCCCACCCAACGAGGCCCGCGGAGTAAGTGTCTCTGGGTTCCCTTCTCTAAAGATTAGTGATGCTCGGCATTTTGTCCTGTGCTTGTCGACCATTCATATATGATGTTTGGAGAAATGTGTATCCTTTGTCCAGTTTCTAATCCAGTTACTTGTTTTGTTGCTGTTGTTGTTGAGTTGTAGAAGTTCTTTATATATTCTGGACCACGACCCCTCGTCAGATGTGTGATTTGCATTATTTTCTCCTATTTCGTGGTTTGCCTTTTCCCTCTACTGACGTTGTCCTTGGATGCACCGAGGTTTTTACGTTGGAGGTGGTCCCTTTTGTCTCTTTTTGCTTTTGCTGCCTGTGCTTTTGGTGTCGTGTTCAAGAAACCACTGCCAAACCCAGTGTCACTAAGATTTCCTCGAAGCTTTCTTCTAGGAGTTTTCTGATTTTAGGTCTTACAATTAGGTCTGTAATCCATTTTGAGTTGATGTTTCTATACGGTGTAAGGTAAGGGACCAACTTTATGCTATCGCATGTGGATGGCCAGTTTCCCAGCACCATGTGTTGAAGAGACTGTCCTTTTCCCATTGAGTGGTCTTGGCATCCTTGTTGAAGATCATTTGACCAAACACATGAGGGTTTATGTCGGGACTCCTGGCCATGAGGCCTTGAGCAACTACCAAATCCACCTGCCCCACAAGAGCCACCTTTATAAAATGGGGGTGACAAACACCTGGCTGTGTGCAGCTGTTGCGACAATGAAATCAGGTGAGATGCCGAAAGCTTCCCTCTGAAAGTCTGGTGCATACCTGGTAGCCTCCTCCAGGTGAAAGAGAAACTTGATGCTAAATAACTAACAAAAATAAATACCTTGCCCTTACCAGTTTGGCTCAGTGGATAGAGCGTCGGCCTGTGGACTCAAGGGTCCCAGGTTCGATTCTGGCCAAGGGCATATACCTTGGTTGCAGGCACATCCCAGTGGGGAGTGTGCAGGAGGCAGCTGATCGATGTTCCTCTCTCATCGATGTTTCTAACTCTCTATTCCTCTCCCTTCCTCTCTGTAAAAAATCAATAAGATATATATTAAAAAAATAAATAAATAATTACCTTTTCCGCGGCTAGGACACGGCAGGCACCATGCTAAGGTTTCTACATGCACTACATTTCTCACTTCCCAGAACAGTCCTATCATCCGGCATTGCTCTAGATTAGGAAACAATGGTTCCGAGAGAACCAACAGCTAGTGGTGGGGCCTGAGCACAGACTCCAGTCTGCAGGCTCCAATGCTACAACCAGCCCTGTCCACAGTGGCTCCCACGGCCACAAGGACTCTTCAGACAAGGCACAGAAGCCAGCTGAGAGTCTTCACAAGGTTGACAGCCTGCTGTGGCACTCTCTTTTACCCAAAGTCTATCACTCAGGTAAATCACACACCTTCTTCTCCCAACCTAGACTAACCCCTTCTCTATTTGGGGCTTTTGTGTGTCATTCTAGCTCCTTGCCTTTCAAAAATTAGGACACAGCACAGCTGGTATGGCTCAGTGGCTGAGCATCCACCCATGAACCAAGAGGTCACTGCTTCAATTCCAGGTCAGGGCACATGCCCGGGTTGTGAGCTCCATCCCCAGTAGGGGCTGTGCAGAAAGGAGCTGATTGATGTTTCTCTCACATGGATGTTTCTATTTCTCTATCCCAATCCCTTCCTATCTTTCTAAAAATCAATAAAAAAATATTTTTTTAAAAATCAGGATACATATCATCCCCTTTGGGAAGGCTCTCCCTCTCCCTCCGTGTGGCCCCTGTGCCCATGTGTCTGATGTCTCTTTTTATTGGTATGCAGCTCCCCTGTCCACTGAACTATGGATCTCTGAGGGCAGAGGCTGACTTCTAGCTGTGGGTAGCACATGCTGGTATACAGGTGGCACTCAGCAGTGCTCACTGACTGAGTGAACAGCTGTCTCAGGCTGGCCTTTCTGCCTTGGACTGGAGGCTGTGCTCTGGCTGAGGTGTGCTCACTCACCACACCCACCTCCATGCCCACCATGCCCTTCCCCACAAGTCTGCCTACCTGGGTGCAAAACTGACTTCCCAAGCCTCTCGGGGATCTGGCCTCCCCTCGGAGCTACCACACCAGCTCCTCACCTTGAACCTGCAACCTACTCTGTGGCATTCCTATTGGCTCCAAGAGTTATCAAGGTCAGATGAGGTTCAGACACTCAGATACCAGCACCCTGATGCCATGGCCGCCCCCACTGCACCAGGCACATGTCCGGAGGTGCTACGTCCCTGATTTACAGCAGCGCAAATCTATGCAGTGAATGCTTTGGCTTCTAATTTGCTGTTCAAACATATACATAGTCAGGACATTCTGAACAAAGAAAGTGCTCCACTGAGCAGGCACTCGTTCCAAATCAAATAAACATAGAACAAAAGTACACTCATTCCCCCAGGATTCCAACTCGCATCCCCTCTTCAGGGAGTGACTATCACATGTTCCTATGAACATACATTTCTTCATTGCTGCCATCTGTTTTCCATTCATTCATGTTAGTTTCTCTGATTAAAGCATCATTTCAGAGCCAACTTCTCGGTATTGACTGAAAAGGAAGTTTGGAATCTGGTGAAATTTGATGCAAGTGAAAGGAAACATCATTTAAGTCAGGCACACTTTTTTTAAAGCCATGAAGGCCTAGAGAGATGGACCCAGGAAACAGATGTTAAAGGGACAGTATGAGACAGAAAGGAGAACTGCCCAAAGGGACTGGGTGTTGGTAGTTATCTGAGCCCAGCAGCTGAAAAAAGGAAAGAACATTCTAGTCAGAGGATGCATACTGGGGATATAGGCACGCCAAACAGTTCACCTATCCTGGAGACACTACCTCACATGGTGCTGAAGAGACAAGTATAAGTAAAATATTTTTTATTTTCTGAATATTATGACGGAATGACTTGAATATCTCATCTATAAGTTCTTGTATAGCCTCAAATCAAATCTTTAATAATTTTAAAAATTGCTCAGCCAGTGTGGCGCAGTGATTGAGCATCGACCTATGCACTGGGAAGGTCCCTGGTTGATTCCTTGTCAGGGCACACGCCCAGGTTGCAGGCTTGATCCCCAGCAGGGGGTGTGCGGGAGGCAGTTGATCTATGTTTTCTTTTTATTGTTTTTTTTAAATATATTTTTATTGATTTCAGAAAGGAAGCAAAGGGAGAGAGAGATAGAAACATCAATGATGAGAGAGAATCATTGATCAGCTGCCT